GAATCTTAAATAGGCTCTATTCCATGACCATCCTTACTAAGGACTCTATGTCTTATGCATTCTTTATTTCTAATTTAATATTAGGTTTACTTACTTATTAAATACTCTTGAAATTGAATTATGGAGACATTTGTATTATATAGACTGTAATGTCCATGAGGTATTACAATCTTTAAAAGTTGTGGTTTTTTATTTAAAAAGTCTATAGGTATATTGAAAGGAATAATTAATGCTTAATTTTTTGACCAATTTTGCATGCTTATACCTGGTAATCTGAACAACTAATTTGAAGACAACAATATGAAAAATAACAACCATTGTTGAATTCCCAACATCTTGTTCAGTAAAAGTTATGTTTTGAGTTTTTTAAATCCCAACACATGGCCTGGAATACCTACAATTATGCAAGAAGGAGCAGAGAGGAAGGGGAAATAAAAGGGATCAAGATGTGATACATAAAAATATGTATGTCACACATATACTAATGAAAATTTTAAATAAATAAAACTGTTCAAAATGAGTTCTATTGTGACTGAATTTTTGAAGGTAGATCAATTTATCTGTTATAAAAACTAATGTAAAAATTGATTTTTTTATTTTTATTTTATTTTTTATTATTTCTTTTTTTTTGGTACTAGGAATCGAACTCAAGACCTTGTGCTTGTCATTCAGGCACTTGTGCAGCTGACCTGTATCCTCGACCCAAAATTAATGATTCTTAAATCTAGTGTCTAGAATCTTTTTAAACTCTTAGTAACATTCTCAGTTCATTATTTCCCAAATAATATTTCCCTTTTAAGGAGTACAGAATCCTAAATGCTATTGTTCCAATCTGATAGGTATCATTAGAACACATTTATTTTTTATCAATTGTATGAAGGTCTTTAATTTATTATCCACTGAAGCCTCACACAAACATATATGGTAAAACTATGTCACCATTTACATATAAGAAGGCTAAGAAAGAAAACAAAGATGTTAATATTTTCTCCACTTTACCAAATCAACAAACCAAAGAGGAATTATTTAATCCTTGTCTTCCTGAAATCAAAATGTGTGAGCTTCCTTATTCTACCGTAATGTTTCTAGGAAACGAAGGAACTAGTTTAAATATATTATGAAAATTATTTATGACTTAGAAAGAACTAACTTTGTGGTAGAATAACCACAGATATGTAAGAAATATTTTATATTCTCAGTAGTATTTGAGGGATTAGTTTGTGAGGGGTTAAAGTTAGATTAAAAGGATTATCATTTAACAGGGAAAGTGTATGCTCCTTGTAGATGCCTCACATTTCTCTTCTTAAGAACAATGGAAAGACAAGAATCCTGACTGATCAGCTCTGCTTTTTGTTTTATGAACACTAAACCCTTTTTCACTGTTCTTGTAAGTGTACAAGAAATGAGGGAAAGAGGGAGAGACTCCATTGCTTCCTGAATAGTTAAGAAACATTAATATAGATAAGAAATATATGTTAATCTTTCTTGTACATATCTTCATGTATATTGACTTCTAGATATTTCCCTTACTGTGGTTACTAAACAAGATGAATGTCCCTTAAATTCCTCCTTTTGTTGTGCAGAAATTTTTGTCTATTGAGACATATCAATAACTCTGTAAGAGAGGTCTACTTTTGTAAAGATTATAGCAGTTTTAATTTACTTAATAGCATTTTCTGAAGACTCAAATGAAGGTTTGGAAAAGCTCTAGTGAATGGGTGCAGAGCTAGATTTAAAGCATAGTTTGTGAGATAAATATTGTGTCTTTTGGTAGACAAAGTATGATTATTTTTTAAAATCACTCTTGGTTTCACATCACTATTGTTGAACTCTCTTTGGTTCTCCAGTGATTTCAGTTAATGTTCATGTGCTTGTATGTGTATGTTAGAGAAAGAAGAAAGTGTTCTCAAAAGACAAGTTGTTTTCTTGACAATGAAATGTCAGATATTCTAGTCATGATCTGATGCCAATAACCTTGCTTTCCATTATAAATCATTTGTTTCAATTTCCTTAGAGTTCTACCTTTCCCAGTGGAGAAAACACAAAGCAGTTTTCCGTTTGTGTGTGTGTTTATTTTTACTTGTCATTATCATTCCAGTTTTTGTTTATCCAGTTCTATCTGTCAATTCGGTACAACTGGTATTTATTAAACATCATCGGTTTAAAGTGTTAGAAATATTAAAATAATGAAAAATTCTGTTCATGTTCTTTCCTGGCAGCAGCAAAATTTGTCACCCTCAAATGACTGTGAACCTGAGCTACTTCTTAGCCTTAGTGATCATTTCCTCTTCACAATCATTTTGCCACGGTGTCAAAACAGCAGTTCAGCTGTTGTTTTATCTGGAACTTTCCACTCACTTTCATCCAAGAAAGGCGAATCATACAAGAGGCGCCAAACTGATACCTGTCACAGTGTAATACCAAAACATGAGACTTACAGACGAGGACAGATTGCACTTGCTCTAAGTTCTGATGATTTAATTGCATGTTTTCACTCTTCTAACAGATCTTACAGACCTTGAGGGGAGACTTTGTACAGGCTTACGCAGGCCTGGCTTGACAGAATTTTCACTGAGTGCATAACAAAGACTAGGGTAGAAAAGATCTAGCAAGGGCTTTAGCTTGAACTTGCTTTGTTACCTTTGGCAAAACGTTTGATCTCTGTATTTCAGATTCCTGATTTCTAAGACAGAGTAGTTGAATAGGCCCAGAATTTCTATTTTGGTTATTAAACTACAGATCACTGTGAAGTATAGAGGCAAAACCCAGAGGTACTGCAAACCAACTCTCACAGTGTCTATCACATTATAGCATTTCCTACATATCAAATGAATTTAAGTCAAATTTGCTTATTCAAAATCTTGAATGAGATACTAGATGCAATAAATAGAAGCAGAGCTACTTTTGTCAAAGAGAAGTGGACAGTATCACAAAGCGTAGAGACATTTCCTGTGGTCCAGTCCTTACCTCCTTCACTTCATCTGCCTGGAGGGCAGTGTGCAAATAGCTGAGTTTAATTTAAAAGTTCAAAAACAATCCCTTAATAAACAGAATTCTCTCAGGCTCCAACATTATATGATTTCACGACTTAGACTTGAAAAATTCCTATGCTAACACAAGTTGTCATGTGACCGAATAAGAAAGGTCTTAATGGTATCATATTGTGCTGCAGAGGGGTGGTGGGTTTGCCCGGAGACCCTCAAAATCATTTTACATTCTGAACAAATGTGCTACATATGGATTTTACTATCTTTCCCTCCAGATCTTTTCCCCTCTTACCACAGACTAGTGTGGGATGTGTTTGAATAAGGAACATTTTTCTCAACAGCTCTCTAAAACAAACTGCCAAATTATCTACTGGTGACTACATAATCGCAAGATTTTATAAACTGTCTAAATAAACAGCTATTTTGACATCAGGGTTCCTTTTGAAGCTCACCTAAATAATTTGATAAGCAGGATCTAAAAAATGTGACTTTTTAACCTATTAATGGTAAGCCATTTTGCCAACAGTTAGTAATAAACTGATTATTTCAGTAGTAGGAGAATAAAATCTGTTAAGATTAGATAGCTTAGGCATAAAGTAAGGATAGTTAGGGTTAATCAAAGTGATGTCATGTCTTTGAGAATTTCAAAGCTGTTGCTCTCATCCTACTACCCCAACTTTCTTTCCCTCTTTATACCTGTATCTCTGTTAAACAGTAATAAATTTGAATGAATAACATATTCTATTATCTGTGAAGAAAAACAATCAATTGTATCTTGGTCACTCATATTAACACTATTAAAATGCACCCAGGTTGTCTAACTTGGGGTGTGTCATTCCTTTGCTCTGCCTGTTTTTTTTGTTTTTTTTTTTTTTTTGTTAAAGAGAGATGGATGCAAGCTGCTGAGCCAGCTTGAATTCTTAAATCCTCTAGTGATAAGTACTTCTAGCCAGCTCCTGGCAGTTCTGTCTAGATCAGCCTTGCAGTTATCAACCAAACTGGCATGTCCTCCTGGCAAAGCAGAAAGCCCTGAAAGCAAAAACATTTAGTTCGGCAACCCTTAATTGATCATTTTTGTACTTGATATAAAGTAGAAGTTGCAGTGACAGGTTTCAAGGGACCTAGGCAATTTAATCAGAGGGGGTGGGAGGAAAGCTTAATGAAGAAGAACTGACTATTTGTCTAAAGTTCAGATAGTCTGGTTTAGCTAGGAATGAATTATTCAGTGAGAAACTGATCTTGAAAATGCTTAATAGCAAACTCAGATTTGTAGAGTGATAATTGAAATTGACGAAAGCACAAGCAGAAATGTGTGGAAGCTTCAAATCAAAGAGAGTATATCACGCAAATTAGTGAATAAATACTAAAAATGTAGCAAATACAGTAATAACGTGGTTAGGCTAAATGGAAAATATCACTTAAAAATATTTTCTTGGTGTGGACATACATGCACATGCTAATTTAATGGCATATTGCTACCCCATTCAGAGAACATACATGAGGAAATAATGTAATTACTAAATTGAGAGTTGCGAGGCAATGTGACACAGCATATGGAAACTAAGAATGGTATTAAGAAGAATGACACATTCCTATGTCCAAAAATGTTGTAATACATGCCTCATACATCAAGTGTAGTTTTAACACAGGAAAAAACATAGGGCACCCTATTAAAAGAAAAACAAGGTATAAAATGAAATATTTTGTGAAACACATTCATATCTTCTTAAGGACTGATCAATCGTGATGCTGTAATTCAACACCATCATGTGACTGTCAATCTGGACATGTTATATTTTACTCTTGTACAGTCTAATACCTTTCGCCTTGCCTGAAGGTATTACCTGCAATGTGAAAGTTATTACTTGGTACAGTGCTTTGACACTACTTTGAGAATGAAAAATCTTTGGGAAAATAAACTGTATTCTTTCAGTTCATGCAGCATAAGTATAAGCCTCTGTATTGTTACTATTGTTGTCTTTCAGCCCCTCTGACTGATAAGCCACCCAAGCTTTTGTATCCTGTGGAAAGTAAACTGACAATTCAGGAAACTCAGCTGGGTGAGTAATTCCTTAATTACAGTTAATACACTTTTCTCCAGTATAGTCTGACAGTTAATAAGTCTGGATTGCAACTGTAATACGCTGAGCTGAATGAGTATGTGGCTGGTATTCCATTCTCTGCAGTGTGTGCTTTGGGACAAAGCTGGCTGCTATTTGGATGGATGTTGGGAAATGAGATAGGATGAAGATTTTAGTAATGATATTGTAATACCATGTTATAATATTTGAATTGGTTTTGAAACCAACAGTGTGGAACTATTTGTCTTATAGTAGTATCCACTAATACATTAAAATGCAATTTCTGAAATTTTGGGAAAGGGGTGCAAATTCATTAAAATAAATGTCATAATTATGATTTAAAAGCATTTTAAAATTAGAATTCAATGTAATGGACATTATGATACTCAAGTTTTGGCTAAAGTATTATTAAAATATGAGCAAGTGACCTTTAGTTAAGGGACTGGTACTTTCGGACAAAAAGTCACAGACAAAACATGCTCTAGTAAAAATATTCAGTTGTACACAAATCAGAATTATAACATGTATATCTTAGAGATAAGACTTTTTAGGCTGTTTTAGCTATGTTAAGTTACATCAAACTATGGGAAATTTTTCCTATTAATTATAAATATATACAACAAATTTCATTCTGCTTTTCTAGGCTTTATTTTTGTTTGAAATGTAATATACATCTGTATAAAATTATTTGTTTTTAGTAGTTTGGTATAAAATTATTAAAGGGATAAGTTCACCTGTACAGGCATATTGCTAAGAAATTTCCTTCTATTGATCAATTGAAAATAAAAATGCATTTAATGTATTCTACTAAAAAAGAATCAGTAGCTCATCCCATAAGTTTTGATGTTTTTGTTGTTCTTGGAGTGAGAACTTGGATGAAAATTGTAAATACATTTTTTTAAGATTAAATGTGGTAAACTACTAATTACGTAACTAAGTTACATTGTACAAAACAAGGTGATTCTTTCAGAATTTTTAAAATTAGTCAGTCAGTGAATTTCGAAGACTGGAAATTTTTATATTTGCTAATTAGAGTCATGGGTGTGTGCAGGCTTTATGCAAGTCAATGTTTTAATATGCTTCTTTGGTAATAAATGCAAGTCTTTTGAATTACTGTCATACATATATGCAAGCAGTATTATAATTGCTTTAAAATAGAAGGCCATATGTAGAAGTAAAACAATGTCACATCTAAAATAAACAAATATACTAAATTTGTACCTTATACTTTATTAGTAGTAGCCTATCTTGAATTATTTATTGCTTTTTGATAAATAAAATGTGAAATAGAAATTCTTTTTTATAGTATTAGAGTTGAATCCAGTGCCTTCTCACTATGTTACATCCCCAGTTCAGAGTGTTTTTGTTATTATTACATGTTTGAGATATATAATGAATGCATTCCTTGTGAGGAGTTATTGCATATGCATACTTTGTTTACTTCCCCTTTCCTCATCTGTCCTTTTGTTTTTATTTTGAGACATGTTCTTGCTAAGTGGCTACTTTATACAGGCTGGGCTAGAATTTAGGATCTTCCTGCCTCAACTTCCCAGAGTTTCATGATTGCAGGTGTTTTCACCATACCCAACTCCTGAAATATAAGTTCTCATGAGTGGACATATTTATACAGATTTTTTCAGTAACTCTTAGGAAGAGGTTTTTCTAAGGAGCTATGTATAACTCTGAACATCTATGCATTTAATGGTACCAGTTATTGCTAATGAACACAGCAAAAAGGAAATTTTTATGTTTTCCATTTTATGTCTTTCCTGACAACATAATTAGGAGAATTCTATGTTTGTCGTTTGTGTGATGGGTTTCATTGTTGTTGTTCCTGAATTTGGAAGAAATGAAATTGTTCTTTACCTCCTACTATAGGGTCTTATAAAATGGAATAAATTGGAAAGATTTTCTCTGAAATATTATTTTCTTGAATGAAATCATATATCATTGAAAATATTTAAATTTCTTATGCATATTTGGAAGATTTGATTATGCATTCATTTGGAGGAATAGGGGATATCTGTTAACAAAATGCTTCAACAAATACTCTAAATATTTATTGCATAGAATTAAAAGAACTCTCTTTAGCCACTAGCTAAAATAAGATATCTACCTGGAATCTGATTCTTTAAAAAAAGCTTTTTTTTTTTTTTTCTAATTTTGGTCTCAGTGCATCAGAAAAATCATTTACTAGTTACAAAAATTTATCCTTAATCTTTAATTGTTTTACTAAATTTCCTGGAGTAGCTGCCTTGCTCGTGTTTCTAGAAGGTGATCAACTGATCAAAAGAGTATGAGTGAAAATAAGAAAGTCTAATAAAGACACACATACAAATATACCCAAGGTACCTAAAATATACTTGTATTCTACAATGTGAACTTTGATTTTTCACTTTCTTGAAGATTTAAGTTTTTCCCTTTCTAGATCTGAAAAATCTATCAATTCCAACAGGTTTCATATTTGGTAACCAATCCTAAGAACGGGAGATTGAGTAGAGAGTCTTGGGCTGCCAGTAGGCCAGCAGCCTGCATTAGAGATGGGGTGACTTGTAAGTGATGTCTCCCCTAATGAAAAGGAGGGAGTCCCCAAGAGAAACCCACTGGTCAAGAGTTCAGGGGTCTGTTTCAGCCTGTTCTTAAACTTAAAGGTGATCTCAGAATATAATAAAACTCCTGTATGAGAGGTATTATAAGAAAAATCATCAAGAACTTCATAAAACAGCTGGTGCACACCTAGTGATATAACTTTAGCACCCTTTCTAGATTACACAGATGTCCAAATCACTCTAATAGCTCTAAGTCTGTTGACTTTCTGGCTTCTTGTCAAATACATACCATTAATTAACAACGATCTTCAATAAAATCACTGCTTTCATGGATTTGCCCTTGATCTTCACATTCACTTTTCACTGCCATCTGCTGGCCATGTCTGCCTTTCCTTTGCTATATCATTCTCGTGTTCTGTCCTAGTCCCTTCATCTTCTCAAATTGGAAAGACCACTTAAAGTATTTCATTGTAGAAGGCAAAACGCAATAAAAGCAAAGTACTTAGAGAACAATAATATAATGGTAACTAAATTCATGTCAAATATGTAAGTTGATGGGTTTGAATTACAATCAGTGTGTGGTCACAGCCTGGCATTTCCACTTTAAATGACATCTCTGTGTTATTTCAAAATGTGGGAAAAAAAGAACTCCGTCCCTTTTAAATAACTTTCAGGCATCAGCAAATATATGGACAGCATTTTCTTGGGCAAAAGGCCCAGAAATCACACTGTACAGTTCTGAAGGTCAATCCAAAAGGTGATCCTGACTTAGTTCTTTCAGGCTGCAGTAGTCAAGGGAATCAAAAGACAGACATAATTGACTTGCTGAGCTTGAGCCCTGCAGATGTCATTCAGAGATCTGTGCAGCCTGTTATGGAGAGGAGCCCACTTTCAGAAGTTGCCTGAGCAGGGACAGCATATTTCATTGCTACCAGACTTTCAAAGAACAGAAATCCCCCTTAATCTTCACCTGGTAAGACACATCGTATTCTACAACTCAGGATTTGCTGAGAATTACTGTATTGCTAGATATAGGTATCTCTATATTTATATTCTGCTTTTCTCTTCAAAGATAATTATGTAGGTTAATATAGAAATTTGGCATAAAGAAAATTGTTTCTTTTACTGCCAATTTCAAGTACATTTAGACCTTCTAAAGTAACCTCAGAAAACATCTACTTTAAGATTCCTTGGTATCTATGTGAATATTGTATAATTTCAAATCTCATGCTTTTGATTGCAAACAAGTTTGTGTGCACACAGAAGCATTCTGCAAAATTTCGTTTTTGTCTGCAAGCTCTGCATCGGGTGATAAACATGACCGCAGCCATCTTTCCCACGCAAACACAAACACGGCCATCATTCCCAAAATCATAGAACAAATTGAGTTCATGAGTAACTTAATTAAGTTCAGTACCACTGTAGATTACTGGAAATTTGTATTTTTTTCAGTTTTCCTTATCTCAAATAATGATGTGAAGATCTTTTTAAAATATTTTTTCTCCCTGACTTTATAATTATTTCCATAGGATAGTTCCTCAAAAGAAAAAATACTGGATGAAAGGAAATAATTTTGCTAAATATTCTTGCTACATATTTTTATAGTTCTTACCAGGTAAATTGTACAAACTCTCACCAGAAGTATTTAATGAGAATAGTAACTATTGAATCTTTAATAAAATGATATGTTTCTGTAACAGAGCTCCTAAAGGAAAAATGTCTTTCCTTTGATATCATAGTCACTCCCCTGACTCCTTTGACTTCTTTTTCTCTCTTCTCTCATTGTTTTCACACATTAAATACAAGTGACTTCTCGTTTTCTGAGTTTATTCACATTCGGTGGGCTTCAAATAAATCTAATTTGTTTTTTAAAAGTGACTATGGTCTGTGAAATATAGAAATCTAATTGAATGTCTACAATGTTTATCCAATTTCTCTTCTCACTCATTCTAACAAGCAACTGAAATCTTCCTTTGGAGTCCATGTTTCTCAGTGAAGTGTGCACAATTTTTGTGATGGGCTCTAGGCATATGGAATTTCAATAAATAGTAACTGATAATATATTGTACAAGAGGTACACATCTCCATATTTTCTGCAAAGTAATGGAATGAGGACACTGAACTCAAGAGGCTGACCAGCATACACTTAGCTGTTTTCTTTTTTCTGTTACTAGTGTATTCACATTTGTTAAATTTGCTAAAAAATCAAAGATGAAATATATCTGAGTGAATAACAAGGATCCATCAGATGTTAGCATTTAGAGGAAAGTGGTTGACAATATAATGAAACCACAATTTTACAAAGGTCTTGGTACAGGGACACACATGTATGTAACGTTATCCAATTTAACTATAGGATAATGTTTTAAAATACCACACTAGCAATTAACTGGTAATCCTTGCCTTGTTACACAAAAATGTGGGCTACAA